GCTTTCCGTCAAAAATACGCCGTCTGACTACACTGCGTACTATAGTATACCTGTCTGCCACTTTGCACCACCGAACTTCGACGCAGTTTCCAGCAAAGACGGCATTTATCTGACACACTTTTCAAACCTTTCATTCCTTTCTGACGCGAATGTTTCCTTTTATTCCGAGTGACGATGAGAGGAACGTCCTCACATCGAAGTTTACGCTTCAGCTACATGAGAACGAATGCAAAATTTAGTCGAATGTGAGACCTAATCCATAATTCCATTTGTGCGCGACGATGAGAAGACAATTTCCTGGAAAATAATGATCACCTATAACATATTATAGAATGGGTTCGATTCATTCGGAACCTAGGGAGAAGTCTGTTGAGGAAGTCAAGCTTAATTCAACACGAGTCAGAAAAAAACAAGATTTCAATTATTTTCGAATTACCTGATTTCATTTGCAAATCTTATTTTTTCCCCCGGAAGCATCGACGATTTCTCCTCGGAGGGCTCTTGTTCGAAAGTAAAAAGAAGTCACCGCGAACTTGATCTAGTCTCAATAATTTAAAACTTTCGATTATCAAATCCAAAAGCTGGAAAAATGTGAACGACATTCTAAGGAAATTATGTCCAATTATATAGGTGAGATAACCATGAATAAATCCCAGAAAAATGTCAGCCCTTGCATTCAGCACGCAGATATAGCGAGACGAAAAATCAAGACACGAATTTAGTGACAATCTCGAAAGTGAGAGTCTCGGCTCAGGAAACGATGCGGGGAATTATTCATGAGAAAACTTCCTGCTCATTTCCGCAGTTTCAGATTCCGCTGGTCTGATGGAAGGATCCTCAATGTACGTAATTTGTCATCCCTTCTCCCTTTAATCATTCAAGATTGCAGAGGAACGAAGCTCGTCTGGGGATTTCCCTGAGTAATGCTAAAACAATTTTTACCCATCAAGTGATGGCTCTTTTGAAAGTTTTATCATATGAGAGCTGAAAAACTCGGCCGGATTTTTAAAATCATGGCTCGCGGGTTTCATTAATCACAGGGAATGTCTTGAGGGACATGGTATGAGAAAACTGCTGAGCTCACCGATCGTGTATTTTGAGGAGTAATCCTCAGGAACTTTTTCTTTTCATCCAATTTAAATTATTTCTAGGAAACCTGTGGAGATGGATACCAGGCCTTTTTCCGAAAACCGTTGCCAGATATTTTTTTCTGGTGAGAAATCCGATGGAGGCGACGACCTCGACGCGGTTCTTGGACCAACAATTTCGACCTTCGTGCCTTGGAAGTAAGGTCACGTTCTTTTTTTCAACACCTGAAGAAAAGTTGCTCGTCAAGCCTCTAAAAAACGACCCTCACCAAGAGCAGCATCAATGGCAGAGTCGGGGGAAAAAGCTGGCCCAGGCGACT